TATCTATCTATCTATCTATCTATCTATCTATCTATCTATCTATCTACCTATCTATCTATCTATCTATCTATCTATCTATCTATCTATCTATCTATCTATCTATCTATCACTCTATCTATCTATCTATCTATCTATCTATCTATCTATCTATCTATCTATCTATCTATCTATCTATCTATCTATCTATCTATCTATCTATCTATCTATCTATCTATCTATCTATCTATCTATCTATCTATCTATCTATCTATCTAGCATATATATGTAACCCTATCCATGTGAAATGGCACCTCACTACTTCGGAAAGCTCTGCGTTGTGTATTAAGGGTTGTTTTTTGGAGTGCAGGGTGAGGCAGGAGTCAGACACATGGTGCTTTGGATCGTGGTTGAGACCATGAAGTTTATTTGGTGCACTTGCCAGCGGCTTCACCTTACAAACCATAAGCAAACACTGATTGAAATCCTGCCTGCTCACGGTAGCAGAAGCCAAAGTACGGTGTCCATTGAAGGACAAATTACACCATCTGCCTGAACCCACAGAACAAATATGACACCTTGGCAGCCTCTGCTGACATATTTAAGCCACTGTCCTACATATACATGATCTATCTATCATGTGAATTTTAGCTCATAATCACTGCCTTGAAATACTTATTCATTGTACTTGCACAGTTAGTCTATAGTCGGTTCTTCACCTCACTGAGCCTTCACCTCTGGAAGCCTCAATTGAACTGTGTGAGAACTTTCTCCATTTCTTTTTAGAAAAAAAAAAAAATGACCACCCGGGCCCTCCTTTCCCCTCCAGCTCATGATCTATCCATCCCATCCCAGTGTGTTGCTGTATCTGACCATTTTGAACCAATCTCTTTGTCCTCTCTGGAGCAGGTCACGTGCAGCATGAAACCTTCTGGTTCCCCCTTTGATGTGGTCCCCGTTCGACAACTAAAGGAGGTTTTTCCTACTCTGGGTCCTTCTATTCTCTCTATTGTGAATAGCAGTTTATCTTCAGGGATGGTGCCAAAAACCTTTAAACATGCTGCTGTTCAACCTCTGCTGAAAAAGCCAAACCTTGACCCCTCAGTCGTGTCCAACTTCCATCCTGTCTCCAGACGCCCATTTGTCGCTAAACTACTGGAAAAAATAGTTGAGTCCCAGTTGAAGTGCTTCCTAGAGGATCATGTTATCTTAGAGCTATTCCAATCTGGCTTTAAACCTCTCCACAGTACTGAAACTGCCCTACTGAAGGTTTTTAACGTCTTCATGTCCACAGACGCTGGTGGATCTGTGTTGCTTGTCTTGTTGGACCTCACATCTGCTTTTGACACCATCGACCATGAGATCCTCATTTCTAGGCTGGATCAGGGGGTGGGCATCACAGGGTCAGCCTTCAATTGGTTTAGATCCCACCTAGCTGACAGATCCTTTTGTGTCTCCATCAGAGATTTTAGTTCAGCATCAGCAGCACTTAAATGGGGGGTACCGCAGGGGTCCGTCCTCGGTCCCCTTCTATTCTCTTTATACCTGTGTTGATCCTGTATGCATCACACTGTGTTAGTCATTATGTTATTATCTGCTATTATTTTGTTTCTATACTTTGATTTTACGTTGTGTTGCTGTGTGCTCTGCCTGTTTGTTTCTGTTTGTACAGCCCTTTGGTTGGCCCTGTCACTATAAATAATGGTATGGGTATGGTACCATGTTGTTGTTTACTATCTCTCTTTAGGACCTTGTAAATACAAGTATTATATTTTTACCTTTTCACTTTTTGGTACTTTATTTTGTACCCTTAATGCATGCTTTAGTACTTCTTGTTTGTTTGTTCTTTTGTTTTTAGCAAGTAAAATCGGTTCTGCTCATCCTGAACATGTACTGTTAATCTGCAAATGACAGATGAATATAACTTGAACTTGAAATAGAGATATATATTATGCATGGAACATGTCACAGAAATGAGCATCGAACAGAGTCATCTGCAGATTTTATACAGCAGTACAGTCCAGAGGATGTTCCCTCAACGTCAGCCGCAGACAGCTGTACAGACATGATCCATGGGCGTCGGCTAGTCGGCCTCCAGATGGAGATAGTGTTTTCATGCTCACCTACTCACACACTCATGTTCGTGCTTCTGTTGTTCGGCATACTGTTTTTGTACTATAGTGTTTAGTGCATTCTTAGTTTCAACATATTTCTTAGTTTTTACCTTAGATCTTATTACTCTTTTTTTTTTTTTTACAATTTATACTTTTGTTGGATGTAACTGGGACCCTGTGTACACAATTCCATTCCATCCCATGTACCACATGTGACGAGAAAAGGAAATATGTTTCTCAGCCATCTCAGAAAAACACAATAAAACATTCACAACACTCGACCAAAAATTATCTGACTAAATGAGTCCACGCCTGCTAATTATTAAATGTGCATGTTCCTAGAACAAGTAGTTTCTATTTTTCAGTCAGGATTATTGATTCTTCTTCTTTTGGCTTTTCCGCTTGAGTGGTCGCCACAGCAAATCATTTTTCTCCATCTCACTCTGTCCTCTGTGTCCTCTGTCCTCACTCCAACTACCTCCATGCCCTCTAACTGCATCCATATGTCTCCTCTGTCTTTATCCTGCAGCTGCATTTCTAACATCCTTCTACCAATAAACACACTGACCGGCCTCTGGACATGTCCAAACCACTGTCCCTCCTCTGGACATGTCCAAA